CAAATAATTAATTCGGGTCTGGATGTTTGTCCTAGTGCAATTTATGTTTGTAAACTGCCTTCACGATACAGGAGAAAATCCTAGTGTGGAGGTAACGTTTTTGTTAACAAAAAAAAACTTAAACCCACGTCCAATGAACTGGGATAAAATTGTGGGAATAAAAGCATAATTTTTTATCATTTATTTGGCACCATGCTGCGGACGGGGGATATATATGTCTACTCGTTATGTCAAATGGGGATATACTTACTTCTCATATTTGCCGTACTTTGGCATAAAGAGAAGATAATTTTATCTTTTGTAAGTGGATATAATCGGGGGATAAATTTTATGTCCCCAGTCCATGCTAGCCGTGTAGGCAGTGTGTATGAGCAATAATTGTATTTGTCCTTTTTTATTCGATCTTTACGTTCTTGTCGATCTTCATCCAAAACCTTATTAACCTTGTTATTTTACGTTTTCATACTGAGTTAGTTTAACCATATTATTATGCTACCCTCTCGTCCCGGTTTAAAATGGGTGCCGTTATTGTTTTAAGATTTGATTAAAATAGCTTTCGATAAAAAATTCTTTAATATCTTTAGCGAGGTGTTAAAAAAAAATACAAGTGTGCCGTTCACACCCGGTTCAAGTGAAACCTTCAAATAAAATTAAAATATAGCACGGCAAATGATTTATTTATATATTATAATTTTTAACCACAACTGCGGCATAAAATATTACATAAAATTTTAATTTAATAGCAAATCCTTATTGTTAAACTAATTTTAGTGTACTAAATCAAAAGATTATTTTATTTCGAGTAAAATTGCTTTATAATAGCGCCATCTACTTCATTCCATAGGTAAAGTCATTTTATCGAACAAAAATTGAAGGACTCTCAATGTGGTACGTAAAATAGACGCTAGATGGCATGAAATTATGAAATCGTGTATGAATGGATTGGATTATAATAATATTTTGCAATGTGATTAGTTTCATTTATTTAATTAATTTGTTTATTTTTATATTGTTTATTTTAACAGTTAAAAATCTTTAAAGCACCGCACAAAGAGGGGACCGGTATAATAAGAGAAAATGATTTTTTTTTAATACTAGCCATGCTATTATCATCACTAATATTTCCTTCAACCATTGTTGGTAAGCTAAACATGCTTGTGTTAGGAGTGGTTCATGACAGTAGTCAAATGGCGGATTTGAACCCACTGCCATTAGGCTTCTGTCACTTACTACCCTGTATTCTATCTCATTTTCTCGCAGGATAAATCCTGTGGGTGTACATGTTTGTATTTTTTTAGTGTCTCTTTTTTGTTTCGCATAATTTCAAATCACAATGAGTCTAAAGAAGTATCCAATTCAAAAGTAACAAATGATTATTTGACAGAAAACAACTGCCATTCATTGAAATATCCGATGGTACTCACACTAGGGAATTCCGAATTCCCATTTAGCATTAACTATTCATGCTCATCGTTTTTGCTTGGTTTACATAAAATAAAATAAAATAAATAGCGTACGTTTTTTTTTACAATAAAGGTGACAAACTAGCCCGCTTGATGATATAAGGATGCTATAGCCCATAGACACCCAATTTAGAATCAAAATGCAGATGCGTTGTCAACCCGAGGATTACGATATAATACCTTGTTTCCAGCAAAATGGTCTCCGGTTCTCTGCACTATCCAAATGCAACACAGCATCATTAAGCTGTTATTTTACGCTGGTAGCATACCAAGTGCAAAGTGAAAGCGTGATCCCACCGCTGTTGAGCCGATACAATTGTGCTACGTGGCTCTACTACGTACATACTTATGAAACAAACATTAAGAGGTGGAATAAAATGTTGCAATTATAACGTAGTATGTAGTAGTATGTAAACCTACTACTTTAAAATTTTTAAGCGATTACACTGACTAAATATTTTTATTATAAGGCTTTAGTTTATATCGCGCTCATTCTATATCACAGTTATTTTCATATATAGATGTTGACGTACAATTTAAATCACATATTCCTTACTCGTAGGAAATTGCATTAAATTCCATATACGTGAAATGCGCAAAACTCGTTTTAAGTCCGGTATATTGGCTAACGTGACCGAGAGAGAACTTCTACTGATATTTCTAACATATATTTTATAAAATAGCTCAAGTGAACTAGTATATTTAAAATGTTTTAGAAGTATTCACTATTTCTGAGCCGAATAAAGCGCGACACAGAGTTTTAAGTATAGACAGATTTCTAAAAATATCAGATGAACTGAGTGCTCATTTGTTATCTGAACATGTATAAAAAACAGCCAAACTACCTATATCGAGTATGCATCGTCAAGCGAATCTTGCAGTTTAAAGCTTTCTACCGTCACCGTTTCAGCTTAATTAAGTCCACTGCTGAACATAGGTCTCACCGATTCATCATCATAGATCACCTCATAAGGGGGATATTTGCCATAGTTGACGCGCTTGGCAAGCGGATTGGCAACCGTTACTTTAGTCGTTACTAAGAGGACGCTACTGCCCATCTCCAGATTTTTTTCCTCTGTCGCCTCTTAAGACATCCACGCGATGATATTGGCTAGTAGATATTCTTACACCGCTACTACAAGGTCAAAAGTAAAGGTATTTACTATTAGTCAAACATTCGAAGTGAACGCGTTAAAGGTAAGAACGCATCACTACATTGGCAATCCAGTTGCGGAACCCCAATTGAATTTTTATTGGTTCGAAATTGAATGGTAAATGCGAGTGAAAACATGTGGAAGAAAAATTTACTTTCTTAAAGTGAATGCAGAAACTGATTAACGTTCGTGTTACATTTAGTACAAACCAGTAAAAGGACCGAAGCGTCTTGCGGCTTTTTACTTATAGAGGGATCTTGTAGAGGGATATTACACTTTTCTTAACCAGGTGATTTTCCTCTAACCAACCCTTGAATAGTGTCTATAATTATCTTAGCAGGTAATTCAATCTGGGAGTCATCCGGATAGGTGGCCGTGGTGGCATTGCTCACCTGCTCAATACTAACTACTGGCGGCTCAACCGTAATAACTATCATCATCATCATCATCACAGCCTTTCGCAAAGCCACTACTGAACATAGGCCACCCGCAAGTAATGCCACAATGCACGGTCCTGAGCTACCTGCATCCGTCGACTTCCTGCATGTCTTACCGGGTCGGCACTCCATCTAGTGTGTGGCCACCCTACACTTCACTCATCGGTTGTCGGTTCTTCGATCTATATGGACCGCCCATTGCCACTTCAGCTGACTAATCAATTGAGCTATGTTGGTTACTCTGGTTCTACTGCAGATATCCCCATTTCTCAGTTTATCACGCACAGAAACCTTGAGCATAGCCCTCTCCATACCTCACTCATTGAACTTGAGCTAACCCATACGGCCAGCAAAGAAGGACCATACTTCCATAAGTCATCACTGGCAACACGCAGTGGTTGTACGGTTTCGTTATCAAGTTTCCAGGTATACCTGACGAGAATATGTACCGTAATTTCACGAACGCTGTCCAGCCAAGTTAAATCCGTCGATTGACCTCTAGGTCGAAGTTGAACTTACCAAGTCGGACTATTTGGCCCAGGTAAACATACTCGTCAACAAATTTAAGCTAAGAGCTCCCAACAACTACCGGCATAGATGTGACATAGACATTAAACATAATCTTTGTTTTGTCCTTGTTTATCTTAAGACCTATCCGTCGGTAGTCATTATTGAGGTCATTGAGCATAGTGCTTAAGTTTTACATCTTCGGTAAATCGAAGGTAAGTAATGTGATCGCCGTTGATCTTAATACCGTATCCTTTTCAGTCCAGAAGCTTGAAAACGTCTTCCAATACAGCGATGAAGAGTTTCGGGGATATATCTTTACCCTGTCTTACAGTTCTCTCTGCAGTTGGATAGGTTTCGTACTCTAGTTCTGAACTCATTATAGTCATCGTAGCCCTACTAAACAATCACTTAAGCACTTCGATATACCGACAGTCAGCTTGGCACCGCTGAAAGGACTTCAAGTAGGTATGGGTTTTCCACCCGCTTTCAGAAACTCCGCTTTAATCCCATCCTCGCCCGTGAACTTGCCCTTTTTGAGGTGCTGGAGAGCCATTCTAATTTCACTCAGACTGACGTCCGGGCTATCATCGGAATAGTTCCGGATAAGACTTGCTCTTGGATCGTCACTCACACTTGCGTATGGGCCCAACGATGATGTGTACAGGTGCTAAAAGAATCTCTCAATCTCACTCAAAATCTCAGGTGTCCCGGAGAAGATGCTGCCACATTTGGTCTTCAGCTTTGACAGTTGGCTCTTTCTGGTAGACAGATCTCTGGCAAAGACTTTGGACTGCTCAAACGCTTCTTCAATACAAGCAGTATTAAAGTTGCTTAAGTCCCTCCGTATGCTTTTGGAGATCTGTCTGTTCAGTTGCTTGTATGCTGTCAAATCAACTTAAGACTGCAGCTTTATTACCCGTCTAACAGCAATGAGGTTTAGAGTGTGACAAGAGAGATTTTGTGTTTTTCTGCGGCGGGTCTTGCAGAACTTAGCTCCGACCGCATGGAAAGTTTACAAAAGCTTGCAATTCATATAGTTCACTGCATTGCAATCTTCTAGGCACTGAAAACTGAGACATAACCAAACAGTTGCCATCTAGTCATCGTAATGAAGTCAATCTCATTTTTTGTTGGACCGTTGGAGCACGACCAAATCCACTTTCTGTGGGGCCGGAAGAAAAAGTTTATCATAAAGAGTCCCTCTTTCTCTATGTAGTCGGCTAACTGCTGGCACCTTTGCCGTTTTCTGTTGCCCAGTTCCAAATTTTCCTACTCTCAGCTTGCTGTTCTCTCTTGTACCTAGTTTTGCGTTGACGTCTCTCACTATCACCGTATAGTGGGATTTGGAGGAATGCACGGCTTTAGAGATGTCCTCATACATTTCCTCAACCTCCTCATCGGGATGTACTGAGGTTAGCGCGTAAACCTGTATGACCTTAAACGAATACCGTTTGGTTATTCTGAGTATAAGGTACGCAACCCTCATCGACACATTCACGCGTTGTAGATGAGAGACTTGTGGACGATAAAGGAGGCTCGTCTTGGGATTTTAATTTTTGTATATTTTCAGAATTTACTGACCTATTTTCCCGAATGTCACTGAGCAATTTTGTAAATTTTTGTTCGTACTTGACTGTCCTGTAAGGACTTTAATTTATCTTTAAAGATATTTCTTGAAATACACATTTTTTTATATGTATAACCAGATCTTGGTGTACCATATTATATGCAATTTTATAATGTAATCTTACCTTGCTGTGAGCCTGACGTACGTACTTATTCCAACATGTATTTTTTGTTATTACATTTATTATTTCCTTTAAAAACATACGAAAATTCTGCGCCTTCTTTAAGTATACATATCAATTATTATCTCTTTATATGTATTAATAGTAAATATCTTTTAATTTAGTAGCCTCTTAACTTAGGTAAGGTCAGGTAGACTGTAAGATCGTTTGTCACTTAAATTTTTTGTAAAAATATTTTACTGACAGAAAACTGCATGCTCGTTGAGTTATGTTAAAGATTATTAAAGATATTTTATATCTCAATTAGTGTAGTTTTTAGTCGATTAAAGGAGCAGACTTATATTAATCGTTTCAATTGAAAACATTACATGTATGTGTATTGTGTAAACGCTTCCTTTAAACGTCGTTTGCGCCACAAAATTGCCAGTAATAAAATAGAAAAAAAAATACGTCGATTAAGTAAGAAACATTAAAGAGATTTTTATTTCTTTTGAGTTGACGAAGAAATAAACTCGAGTTTTAGGACTGTTTGAGAAACAGTCCTTTCACTTACTCATAAAATATATAAACATAACGCGTCTGAAAATAAAATGTGTTCGTACTTCACTTATTCAGTTTAGAAATTCCGATTGAATTTTTATAAAATTGTAAAAGAAGGATAAATCGAAGCTCGATAGAGTTTATGTTTCTTCAAAAACATTTTGAAACAATAAGACCCAGTTTAAAATAACAGTAACATACAAACTGCGAAACTAAGCGATATGGGTTCAAATCTGCAACTCAGTTACCGTTAAATAGAAGTCACAAGCGTGTTCCGCCTTATTACAAAAACCAATTTAACCTACAGACTAAGACTATAAATTTAAAATAAAATAAAATAATTAAATTATTAAATAAAATTTCACGAACGCACATCGCGGCAAAACTCCCGATATCATCCACACCATCTGGATGCTTGGTGGTCCACCAGTGTACGTTTCACTAGGAGTTTTCTTCCGCATACGACCTCTTTGTGGAATAATTTACCACCGGCGGTTTTCCTGGACCGATACGACTTAGGGACCTTCAAGAAAAGAGCTAACCCTTTTTTAAAAGGCCGGCAACAAACCTGCAATTCCCTTGGTACATATTACAGTTGTTCATGGGCGGCGGTAGTCACTTACCATTAGGTGAGCCATATGCTCGTTTACCACCTATCCTATAAAAAAAGACTTGCCTTTATTTTTAGACTTTAGTTTAAATTACAAACTACGTAATTCTAATTTTATAGGATGGTTTAACATTTCATTAGTAGGTGGTGCTAGTGGTGACGAAGTTTTACCATTTAGTCTCTACTATAAATTTTAATGTTAATTGTGCATGTTGGTCTATTTAGTTTTTATCGCGTTTAATTTACTTATTTTTAATTGCCGACGTTTCGGTGCTTTCCTGCACCCATGGTAACGGGGACTGAGTTGATTGACGTCCTGATGTCAGAGTTAGTCCAGAGTACCTTCAGCTTTTAAATTATCAGTATTGGTCCGATCTAAGAATAATGAACTTACTATGTCTTGGAGTCTTGCAGTGACTATATACGTATGCTTGGGCTTAGTTTTAATTTTATCAATTACAGGATCAGGTGGTAGTACCCAGCCTCTATTGAAATAAGGATGTTTTTTAATTTTAATAGCCTCACGTTTCATCATTGGCAGGAATCAATGTTCTTTCTCGAGACTTTGTGGTCTATCAAATCTGATGAATTGGCAGGGGCCATCGTGTCCATGTTCACAGACTGCAGACTTCTGCGTTGGTGTTTCATTCAACTATATGTTCTACGTAGATCGAACCAAAACTAATGATTAAAAAGCTGAAGGTACTCTGGGTTAACTCTGACATCGGAACGTCAATTAACTCACTTCCCCTGGAAAGCACCGGGAACGTTGGGAATTTAAAATAAGAACAATTAAACAGGAAAAAAACGTAAAGGAAGTTTAATTCAATGTGTAGTGTTCGCGTAAATATAAGAAGTCGTTTAAAAATTACTATATTATGCGCTCAAATTAAAACAAAATGGCTTAGACTCTTGGACGTTATACCACGCACCGTAGGAGGAGTCACAGTGCGATACGTTGTTGTCCGTAGCCGTCAGCGACTCATGGGATCGTCCACAAAGCGCACCATGGGACGCAAACCAAATTCTATTAAATCTTGGCTCTGTTTTAGGTCATGGTTTAGGTAGAGGATTTTACTTTTCTGTAGTACAAAAGACTAAATAAGTGATTGCTTGGTGCAACCGTTTTTTTAGATCTTGCCTAAATAATGTTGATATGACGTGGTAGATTATAGCCTAATGCTTCTGTAGAAGAAACTTAAGCCAGCATTTATGAATTTCTAAATTAACAAGAACTAGACTTGATAGAAACTAATATAACGTTTAATTTAACCTACTCGACTTATTTAGGCTGTCAGTTTCAATAAAATATAATTCACGATACCATCCTCACCATCTGGATGCTTGGCGGCCCACGACTGTGCGTTTTACTAGGAGTTTTCTTCCTCGTACAACTTTTCTATGGAATTGTTTACTACCGGCGATTTTTCCGGACTTCAAGAAAAGAGCTTACACCTTTTTAAAAGACCGGTAACGCATCTGCCATTTCCCTGGTGTTGCGGTTGTTCATGGGCGGCGGCAGTCACTTACCATCAGGTGAGCCGCATGCTCGTTTTTCCCATCTCATTAAAAAAAAAAGTAGGGGACCTTAATACATATAAATAATTATATTATATCCGTCTATTAATGTACTGTGTACTGATATTTTTAAATAATTTAATATGTAACTAGCTGAAATTGTAACGATACTACGAACCTAGAGGATGCGGGTTCGAATCCCGCTGTAAAGATGCAACAAATGCACAAAGTATGAAAAGTACATTTTGTTATTACAAATTTTGGTCTTAACCGTGCAATGGTGATTTAAGAATATCCACTACCTCATATCATGTAGAGAGAGTGGTATATTGTTCAAAGGGTGTCTTAAGAGGTGACAAAGGAAACTGAAACAGGAGATAGGCAGCACTGGCAACACACCCTGATGGTAATAGTGGTTCTAGTTTTCAAGTTTTTAAGCCTTTTATTCACGATAATTATAAAAATTTTCTTCCTTTATGTTTTAATTGGCAAATATTTTAAACGTGTTCATTACTAGTAACACTCACATTTGTAGAGCGTTGCTGCAATATTAGCATACAGTAGTTCCAAGCATAGTAGAAAGCAATTGTGACTTCTTTTGTTGTTCAGTTCCTTTATAAGACAAGAGGCGTATCTTGTTTATTTAAATGTAATGTATGTCTTGAGGAAAGTAGTTACTTCATTAAAATGTATATATTATAATTACTTTTCATGAGTGCGGCTTATTCAGACTAAATAATTGCAAATAGATAGAGAGCCGTGGTAGTTCAAGGGCTAAGCGGTCGCTGTAAATTTCACCTTACGCGAGCGACCCGGATTTGTTCCCCACTAGCACCGATAAAATTGTTAATTGCAAATTTAGTTGCTGAGTTACGTGCTCGGCAGTGAAGGAAAACATAGTGGAGAAACCTGCATATCTGAGAAAAAAAAATCGAATACATGTGAAGTTCGCAAAGACGCAATGGCGCAGCGCGGCTGACTTTTTATTTGCTCTTTAAATATCTCAGAATCGAAAGTAGGCCTGCACAGGCACAGCAGTGAGACGTATGCATATAGGCTGTAAATTTAACTTTTATTGTAAATAGAATTATAATAGGTAAAGGTTTATAAAAGGTTAACTCAGGTCTTCTGTATAAAAGTGGAATCACAATTACAGCTAGTTAAAATACATCCAGTCTTTGATTATTTTAGCGCCAGCAGTGCCAGCTCCTTTCACTTGACTATATCCAGCGAAGAGCCGCCCGAATCGTCAACGTCCGATTTTATTTTGATTGGCTAAACTGGTGACTGGATTACCACTTGGAGTGTTCAGAGGAATTTTTCTGATTGATTCCAGCCACCAAAGTACCTGCAAATTCCCTAGTTAAGTAGTTGTTGCATAGTAGTAATATTATTACTACTAATACTCGTAAAATGCCTGAGGACTAAGATGCAATATCTCGTTACTAGTAAATAATTGACGAAGATAACGCATAATATACCTACAAAGAAGGAACATACGGTCGAATCCAATTCAAATAATTTAAATTCAATAAAAGAAATCAAGCAGCCGAGTTAATATTACTATAATATTTGTATTCCGCTAAAACACGATTTCGAGTGCAATATTATAGGCAGTGTACAGGCATATAGTATGTAACAATATTTAAAATTTTGCGAGTTAGTTGGCATATTTTCGAAAAAGAAAGAAGAATAATGATGTAATGTTTCTGGTAAATAGCGTGTGGTGTTTGTTCTGAATAATTCTGTATGTGCTGCAGCTATATTTCGGGTATAATTGTAGCACGAATGGGTCGGCTCGACCGGGAAAGGACCACACTCTCACAGAATACCAGCGTAAAATAGCAGCTTAATGCTGCTGTGTTTCGTGTGGTGAGTGTAGAGAACCGGAGACCCTATTTACTGGAAAAGAGGCAATCCATCTTAGTCCTCACGGGTGACAACGCATCTGCATTTTGATTCACAAACGAAGTTAGATGTAGATGTCTATGGGTCACAGCAACCACTTACCATCAGGTGGACTGCGTGCTCGTTTGTCACCCTATCCTATAAAAAAAAGTTGTAGTAGTTAACGCACACACTTGTAGAAAAGATCTATAAAAGATCTAAGTTAATTATAACTACGAGTTAGTCTATCGGAGTAAATGAATTTGGACAAGTAATTCAAAATTCTATTAATGATCCAAACGCTTTAACATCTAAAGAGAAAATATAGAGACGGTGGCTCATTTTGAAACTGACGAAGACCAAAAATTCCTTTATGTAAAAGTGACTGACTGTTAGTATTTTTAAACATTATCGATAAAAAAATATTCCATTTATTGGCAAACTATTCCATTCGTTTGTTGCACGCGTAACAAACGACTCAACAAACCGTTTCAATATCATCATCATTACAGCCTTTCACAAGCCCACTGCTGAATATAGGCCTCCCCCAAGGAATGCTACAAAGCACGCTTCTAAGCCACTTGCATCCATTGACTTCCTTCATGTGTTACTAGGTCATTACCAGGAAGCATCGATAGAGCTCGCGTCCTTTTAATTCATTCGTCCATCGATCCTGTCAAATACCGATCACCTCAGTCCAAATTTAGCGCTTACATCTGCAACTTCTCTTTGGATACGGTCATACGTGCTATACCCATCCTAACAGCACGTCAGCAGGGAAAATGCCAGCCAGCACCGATAAGGCCGCCATGCTAATGAATCGATACGCCGTAGCCAACAATATAAGGGCTAATTGCTTCGATCCCAGTAGTACGCTACGAACTTTGTACACGTTCGTACCAGCACTGCGCCACGTACGCAGGCGTGGATACAAACAATCCTCTATATTATAATATTTTTAGGCTTGGATATCGGATACCCCATGAGGATGTTGATCCAGGAGTCATCTTGCCGAATCCCTTGCTTCGCCTACAAATGATAGTCCAGAGTCCAAAACCACGCCTAGTACCTTAGAGTTAGTTACAGTCGTTATAGATTTTCCACCAAGTTTAATAACAGGGGGTTGCTGAAGTTTCACCCTAACAGTCTCGATCAACTTTGAGGAGGAAAACTCCAGTCTGAACCTAGATTCGATACCTGTTCTAGTTTCAGATTCAATCAGAATTGTGACATCATTAGCAAAGGCAGTCACGACTACTCCCTCAGGCAGAGGGACCCGGAGTAAAAATCGTCCATCAACACGTTCCACAGTGTTGGGCCCAGCACGGAGTCTTGAGGGCATCCCGTGGTCGACATCTTTTACTCTACCTGGTCTCCGATGTAGACGCCCACACGTTTGGAGTTGAAGAAGTCCACTAGCTTTTGTAAATGTTGGGTGGATAACCACCTCGTTTCGCTTTGACTACCATCATCGGCCACGATGCGTTGTAACTGTAGATCACCATGAAGAAAAACCATGCTGGTGCTAAGATATGCTGCGACTAATCGCAGGAGCACATCTTAGCATTACGCGTTCTATTACTTTTCCCAAAACAGGGAGGAGCGTTATAGACACGTATGCCTTGGCGTCGGAGAGCGGCTTGTCATTAACCTTAGGAATTATTAAGTCTTCCGTCCTTCCATACCTTGGGGAAAATCCCTCTACCACACTTGCCGTACATAGAGTGAAATTCTCTCGGTGCTGCCATCCAAACATTCCTCACGATTCTCGCATTCACTCCATCAAGTCCCGGAGCTGTGTTAGGCAAGGCCTTGACTATACCTCCCAGGTCCCCAACCGCTAGCGGTGACGCAGCTCTACCAGACGGCATGACGACATGCCTTACCATAAGCGAACCCGCTGATGGTAAGGCATGTCGAGTTCAGGGTCTGTTATCCGCACAGAGCGCAGAAGTTAAACTGACCATCGCTGCTTCGATATTTTCCGGTTGCTCACCTGCAAAGGCGATACCATTGATCACATTTGTAGGTGGTTGTGCCTTGCTGGCCACCCCAAACGCCATGCCCCATGGGTCTGCGTTGCCAAAGTTAGCAACCTTCATGTGCTGCGACTGCTGCGTCTAAACCATCATCTTACTGTACCTCGCACGCACGCTTTGAATAGCCATCTAGTTTTCTCCTCAGACCTACCTCCTAGACGCCTTTTACTCTGCCACACACTTGAGTTTGCATTCATCATCATCATCATCATTACAGCCCTTCACAAGTCCACTGCTGAACATAGGCCTCCCCCAAAGAATGCCACAAAACACGGTCCTGAGCCACCTGCATCCATCGACTTCCTGCATGTCTTACCAGGTCGTCACTCCATCTCGTGGGGGGACGCCCTACACTGCGCCTACCGGTACGAGGCTGCCACTCGAGAACCTTTCTTCCCCATCGGTTGTCGGTTCTTCGAGCTATATGGCCGGCCCACTGCCACTTCAGCTTACTAATCCGTTGGGCTATGTCGGTCACTCTGGTTCTACTGCGGATATCCTCATTCCTAAGTTTATCACGCAGAGAAACTCCGAGCATAGCCCTCTCCATAGCTCGCTGAGCGACCTTGAGCTTCCTCATACGGCCAGCAGTGAAGGACCACGTCTCAGTTCCGTAAGTCATCACTGGCAACACGCACTGGTTGTACAATTTCGTTTTAAGGTTTTGAGGTATGTCTGACGAGAATATGTGTCGTAGCTTCCCGAACGCTGCCCAGCCGAGTTGAATCCGTCGATTGACCTCTCGGTCGAAGTTGGACTTACCCAGTCGGACTATTTGTCTCAGGTAAACATACTCGTCAACAACTTCGAGCTTAGTGTTCCCAACAACTACCGGCATAGGTGTGACATGGACATTAAACATGATCTTAGTTTTGTCCATGTTCATCTTAAGACCTATCCGTTGGGAAACACTATTGAGGTCGTTGAGCATAGTGCTTAGGTCCTCCAGCGATTCTGCCATAAGGACAATATCGTCGGCAAATCGAAGGTGAGTGATGTACTCGCCATTGATGTTGATACCGTATCCTTTCCAGTCCAGAAGCTTGAAAATGTCTTCCAGTGCAGCGATGAAGAGTTTCGGGGATATGACGTCACCCTGTCTTACACCTCTCTGCAATTGGATAGGTTTCGTACTCTGGTTCTGTACTCGGATAGCCATCGTAGCCCTACTGTACAAGCACTTCAACACTTCGATATACCGACAGTCAACTTGGCACCGCTGAAGGGACTGCAGCACCGCCCAAATTTCGACGGAATCAAAGGCTTTCTCATAGTCCACATACGCCAGACATAGTGGCAAATTGTACTCTTCGGACTTCTGTACAACTTGCCGAAGGGTATGTATGTGGTCTATGGTGCTAAAGCCCTTTCGGAAACCGGCTTGTTCGGGAGGCTGGAAGTCGTCAAGTCTGCGCGCGAGACGATTCGTAATGACTCTCGAAAACAGCACGTAGACGCGGCTCAGGAGGGAAATCGGTCTGTAGTTCTTCAAGAGAGCGTTGTCGCCTTTCTTGAAGAACAAGACCACCGCACTTCTGCTCCACGCCTCCGGTGTAATGCCACCATGGAGGACGGAATTAAAGAGCTTCTGAAGGACTTCAAGTACCGGTCTTCCACCCGCTTTCAGAAGCTCCGCTGTAATTCCATCCTCGCCTGGGGCCTTACCGTTTTTAAGGTGCTGGAGAGCCATCCTAATCTCGCTCAGACTGACATCCGGGATATCTTCGGAATAGTGTCGGATGAGACTCGCTCTTGGATCGTTACTCACACTTGCGTGTGGCTCCAACGATGATGTGTACAGCTGCCCATAGAACCTCTCAATCTCACTCAAAATCTCAGGTGTCCCGGAAACGATGCTGCCACACTCTGTCTTCAGCTTTGACAGTTGGCTCTTTCTGGCAGACAGATCTCTGGCAAAGACTTTGGAGCCTTGGTTCCGCTCGATCGCTTCTTCAATACGAGCTGTATTGAAGAAGCGTAAAGTTGCGTAAGTCCCGCCGCGTGCATTTGGAGATCTGTCTGTTCAGATGCCTGTATGCTGTCAAGTCTGTTGAAGAATGTAGCTTCATCTCCCGTCTAACAGCCATGAGATTAAGAGTGTGATCGGAGAGTTTTTGTGTTCTTCTGCGGCGGGTCTTGCAGAACTTAGCTCCAACCGCATGGACAGTTTCCACGAGCTTGTCATTCATATCGTCCACTTCATTGCAGTCTTCCAGGCACTGAAAACGGTTTTGTAACTCGAGCTGAAAGGTTTCGGGACTTTGGAACAGAGCACGAGGGGGACGGAGCGTTGACTTCATTAGACGAGACCTCTCCAACTTAACGTTTAGGTTCAGTGTGCCTCTAACCATTCGGTGATCGCTACCAGTTTTCACCCTCGCGATCACGGAGACATCACTGAACAGTTGTCGTCTGGTCGTCATAATGAAGTCAATCTCATTTTTTGTGGAACCGTCGGGGCTCGACCAGGTCCACTTCCTGTGGGGCCGCTTTTGGAAGAAAGATTTCATCATAAAGAGTCCCTCTTTCTCCATGAAGTCGGCAAGCTGCTGGCCCCTTGGGTTCCGTTGCCCTATTCCAAATTTCCCTACTTTCAGCTCACCGTTCTCTCTTGTGCCTAGTTTTGCATTGAAGTCTCCCATTAACACCGTATATTGGGTTTTGGAGGAATGCATGGCTCTAGAGATATCCTCATACATTTCCTCCACCTCCTCATCGGGGTGTGCCGAGGTTGGTGCGTAAACCTGTATGACCTTCAGCGAATACCGTTTGGTGATTCTGAGTATAAGGTACGCAACCCTCGTCGACACACTCCCGATTTTTACAACGTTGTTAACGAGAGACTTGTGGACGATAAATCCGACACCTCCTTGGGACAGATGGTCGCCCTCCCGGTGATAGAGCAAGTTGCCGGATTCGAGGATTACCGTGTCCTCCCCCTCTCTTCGGACTTCGGATAATCCTATAATATGCCAGCGCAACTTGTCTATCTCTTCTTCCAGCTCCACGATCTTCTCGTCAGTCCTCAGGGTGCGTGCGTTTTACGTTGCCAGGTCGAGTCGTCTAAGGTGGCAACCGAACCTCCACCGGAGATTCTTAGCACCCCCTGCCCCGCCGTTACCATGGTCGCCACCGTAGCCAGGAATAGCGGGGCCGCCGGGGACTGGGGGCCGTTTTTTTGTTGCTCTCATCATTGGGGGGTATTTGCCATAGTTGCCACGCTTGGCGAGCGGGTTGGCAACCGCAGTTTTTTTATTGTAATTTGGCTATTATCAGGAAGATGCTGCTGCCCATCTCCTGGCTGTTTCCCTTTGTCGCCTTTTACGACACCCACGGGAGGATATGGGGTAGTGGATATTCTTGACCGCCACTACACGGCGAGTTTGCATTGCAAATTGCTAATTTTGTAGAGTTCGGAAGTCCACGATAAACACCAGAGATGGAAACAATACTCCATATGTGGCTGAACTTGCGCATTGTAAAGTTGCCGGCGGTGTGCTGGCATGAAATACTCTCCCGCTCTGCTGAGCACGCCAAGATTTTTAGGGGCCAATTTGGTTTTCTCTTCCAAGTGACCACGATTCTGCACGTCATTCGATATGGTGACGCCGAGGATTCCGCTTCCGGACACTGGCTGAGGCAACAAGGATAGTGCCATGAAACTAAGAAGATATGACAAAGGGGTTATTTTTAGTAGTGAACGCGCAAACTTGTGTCTACTGGAGATTGAACTGAACTATATTTAGTCGCTACCTATACGAGACTATGTTCAACAGATTCTCGACTTCAGACACAAGTTCGTTTCGGTCCTCGGCGACGTTTTCCCGAGAAATATTGGCACAACTGGTCTATAAAGCATCACCAGTGCTGTCGTCTGCATAGCAATTAATTTTACCGGTTTGCAACATATCATTGATATGCAGGAGAAACAGCGTTGGTAATAGCACACAGCCTTTTAGAACACCAGCGTTTATAGGCTTGAAATCAGAGCATGCACCGTCTACTACGACCTTGATGCTCCGATCAGCAATGAAACTGGTGATCCGTTTGCAAAATTTCGCGGGGAGCCCATAGGAATGGAGCTTCAAAGGAAACGCTTTTTGTCAAACCCGATCGAAGGACTTCGCTATGCCCAAACTAACTGCCAAAGCGTATTAAATATAAATATGGCTAGAAAAAATAAAAGTGTATATATTTATTTATTTATTGATAATCTTCCCTTAATGTCCGTAAACGAATGAAACCTTACACTGGAATACACTGCTGGAATGCACTTCTTTTTTATAGGAGAGGGGGCAAACGACCATGCGGCTCACGTGATGGTAAGTGACTACCGCCGCCCATGAACAACTACAACACCAGGGGAGCCAAGTGAATTGCAGATGCGTTGCCGGCCTTTTTGAAAGGAGTAGGCTCTTTTCTTGAAGGTCCCTAAGTCGTATCGGTCCGGAAAAATCGCTGGTGGT